GAGCCCCATCTGGGGGGGGGGGTGCACCCCAGGGCCTGGAGCCTGAGCCCTGTGCTCCTGGGGAGCTGGGTTGAGGGAACTGATGAGTCCCTTGCGTGTGGACCTCTTGCTTGCATGTGTGTATTTGAGCATTTCACGCCTTGTTGGCGCTGGAAAGTTGTGTTCAACTGACATTTAACACTTCCTCCCCTACTTCCTCCCAGCCCTGTGGGCGGGGATTGGAAACTTAGCACTTTATATTTATACAGAACCTTGAGAATACGTCAATAAAATATTGTTTTGTTTAAAAAAACAACTTCTTGAGCATCTGGTCTCAAGTCAATGTCTGGGAAAATGCTCAAAAGCTGTTTCTTAATCAGAGCTCACCTTTCCTTGTGCCTTGGGGCCTGGAAAACAGGAGGAAGGTGCATGTGTACCCACATTGGCAGGCGGTGCCCTCAAACACAGGGGGTGCCCTCTGGGCCCCAGCTCTCCTGTGCTGCTGGCCTTTCCCAAGTATTCTGTCTCAGCTGAAAGGTGGTTTCTGGGAGACTGTTTCCAACTTTATTCCTGTTACTGGCATTGGTCTTGTGGGGAAAAGGCCGTGTCCATGACTCAGAAGTAGGCCCAGCGCTGCCCTAGTCAGACCCCACTTCCTTCTGGAGCATGTAGATAGACGTGTGTGTGTGCATGTGCGTGGGTGTGCATGCACCCATGTTTGTGACTGTCCTGTGGGTGTGGGTGTCTTGTGCTTGGCCTGCACACACCTATATGTCACATGCATAGGTGTTGGGGCTGAAGTAACTGAGGAGAGAGGGCAGAAATCAGGGACCCCTGGGGACACAGGCCACCTAGCTTCCTGCCACCAAGGGTGCCACAGCTCAGGTCCCAAGAGCCATAAAGATGTGAGCGGCCTGACACAGGCATGTGAGAGTGGGCAGGCCATTAGAGGTGGGATGGAAGCTGGGAAGTCAGCTTGGGCTGTGAATCGTGGTGCACAACACAAGCCTTTTTTCTATATAACAGAACTTGCAGCTGATTCTGTGGTGCCCATCAAACAGAGCACTTGTCCCTGAAGAGGTTGGCTAGGGGTCCCAGCACCCCGTGTCGCTAGTTCAGAAGTGCTCAGAGCTCTGCCAGCAGCCACTCCCTGGAGCACAGCAGCTCCTTCCTGAGCACCCTAAATATGTGGTGGAAAGATGGGGCAGGGTCCTCCCTGGCCTGATTTTAAGGCACTACCCTTGGCCTTGGCAGCTCTTCTCTTTTCTTCCACCAACCAAAACCCTTTGAAGCACAGGCTTCACAGCACCCAGCATGTCCTACCCCACAGGCCAAAGGTTTTCCTGGATTCTGCTCTTACACCAGGCACTCAGGGTGTAATGGGGAACAGGAGCCTCACCTTGGCCTATCTGCCAGCCCCTGCCCCTGGGGTTACCCAGCCAGCCCAGCCCAGCCTCACGCTGTGCCATCTGCTGGCAGCTTCCAAACCACAGAACAGTCTTGCTCTCACCAGGTCACTGTCCTGTTCTGGAGCCTGCTTCCACCCCCAGTCTTCTAAAAGATGGCATTGCTCTCCTAAACACAGAGTGTCCCCTTCTCTACTGGCTAGTCGCCCCAATTCCCATCCAGCCTGCTCCCTTTCGACTCTGCCCATCACCCCCTGCCACAATGGTGTCTGTGTCACTCCTTGTTCTGTCTTCCCCAGACCACCAAAGCCACCCTAGAGCCCCACCAGCCACTCTGCCAACCTGTGCTCAGCTCTCCCTTCATCCCAACACTTCCTGAGCATCTCCTCTGGGCAGGGCACCAAGCTGGGTCTGGAGGGCTCAAACCCGGTCCTTCTGGAAGCCCTCCCAGCTACCACCTTTCCAGATGTTACCCTCCCTTCACATTCAGGGTGGCTGTTCCTTATAGAACACTCACTCTGACTTTGGCAAGAAGGGGTGTCTACCAAGCTATGAGCAACAAAGAGATCCCTCCCATGTTACACCCCAAGACGCCTAGGAGTTAGAGGAGCTCAAAGGCCTCTATCACTATCTGTGAGGTTACTGACACTTACTCACTCACTGGCTGGAGGATGTCCCCCTTAAGGAGGAAGCTGCTCTCTGGGGTTTCCTCTGGGATGAGCCCTGAGAAGGAAGGGAGAGATGTGTGTGGGCCCAGGCCCCCCAGAGCACATGCTCTAGATACAGCCTCGCAAGGTCTTGACTGCCAGACCAAGCAACACCCCGGGCTGTCCATTCTCTGACTCTGGAGCCAGAGCTCCCCTGGGCACTGCGGCTGTGTGGCCTCAGGCAAGTCCCGCAACCCACCTGAGCCCCAGTCTACAAAAGTATGATGTTTCTCATCCTGACACACCCTTCTCTTGCTCAAAGGCAGTCCATGGCTCTCATGATCTTCACAATCCAGTACCAACCCCTGTCTCCTGTGTCAGAGGCCCGTGGAGGCCCTCTGCTGTCAGGAGGCAGCCTTTCTTCCAGCCGCCACCATCCACCTCAGCCCAACCCTCAGAACACGCCTTGAGCTCTCGCCTACCTCATGCCCCATCGAATTCCTGCCCCTCTGTGTGGTATTCAGGACCCTTGTGGTGGTGACAGAAATTCCAGCCCAAACCACATAGGAGGAAGGTGAGCACAGTTCCAGGGGGCCTGGCTATCTCTCCCCAAGCTTCTCACTTCCCTCCCTGTCTTAGCTTATCTCTCCTCTCCTCCTCCAACTCCATTTTCTGCCACAGCTGCAGCGCTTTCCACAGTCTCTTTCCCAACATCTGAGGCCCATGAGGACTCCTGGAAGAGGGCCTGACACCCCGGAGGTGCCTGAGGTGGGGTTCCCTAGAAGCAGAGCCGTGAGCCATCTGGAAATGATTTCAAAGGGACCAAGGAATGCTAGAGAGCTCTGGGGACAAACTGGGCTCAGCTGGAGGGCAGCCTCAGCCTGATCCCCCTCAGCCTGATCTCAGGGAGCTCTGGGCCCCAATGGCACCATGGACTTGTCCTGCCTTGGAGCAGAGGCCAGACGCACGTACCCATGAGTCACTGTGGACCCCCCTGAGCAGGGGAGGGGAGCTTCCAACATCCCTGGCCCAAGGCCTTCAACTGCAAGGCCTCAGCAGTCACCATTCTCAGCAGCTGGGATGGGCTGCTATAGGGAGGGGCTGTTGGCAGAGCTCTGAGCACTTCTGAACTAGGCCACACGGGGTGCTGGGACCCCTAGCCAGCCTCTTCAGGGACAAGTGCTCTGTTTGATGGGCACCACAGAATCAGCTGCAAGTTCTGTTATATAGAAAAAAGGCTTGTGTTGTGCACCACGATTCACAGCCCAAGCTGACTTCCCAGCTTCCATCCCACCTCTAATGGCCTGCCCACTCCCACATGCCTGTGTCAGGCCGCTCACATCTTTATGGCTCTTGGGACCTGAGCTGTGGCACCCTTGGTGGCAGGAAGCTAGGTGGCCTGTGTCCCCAGGGGTCCCTGATTTCTGCCCTCTCTCCTCAGTTACTTCAGCC